GTCTCGTCTTTTGAAAAAATTAAAAAATCGTCTAGATAACAATAACAAAAATCAAGTCCTCTTGTCATTTCGTCCACGAACCTCTGGAACGATTGCCCTGCATTTGAAAGGCCAAAATTCATGAACGGAAACTCATACAAACCAAATGGAGTTGTTATTGCGGTTTTAGGAATGTCCTCAGGACTCACAGGGATTTGGTTATACGCTTTAACTAGGTCCAGTGTACTAAATACTTTACACCCTGCTATACTGTGAGCGAAGTCCTGTATATGCCTAATAGGATACCTATCAGGAATTGTCCTGGCGTTTAACATCCGATAGTCTCCACACGGACGCCAACCGTTGTCCTTTTTGGGTACCAAATGTAACGGTGACGACCAAGGACTTTCAGACGGCCTAGCTATACCGCATTCTAACATAGCCTGGAATTCTTCTTTGGCGATTTTTAATTTATCTGGAGCGAGGCGACGAGGTGAACAAGAAACTGGTGGGCCTGGTGTAGTGCGAATGTGGTGTACCGTGTTGTGTGGTATGATACGGTGCGTGCCGGACGGTCGGGTAATATCGGGAAAGTCCGACAAAATTTTATGGTAACCCGAGTCACCCGATTGGACTTTGACCGACGAAATGTCGTTGCATTTAACTCGCAACGCACAAGCTGTTACAGATGTTGTATTGTCTATTATGCGTTTGTTACGACAGTCAACTATTAAATTGTAATGATTTAAAAAATCTACACCTATAATAGGTTTAGTCACATCGGCAACAACAAAACGCCATTTAAAAGTTCTACGTAAACAAAAGTCAAGTTGTAAATGAACATAACCATAAGTGTGTATACAAGAACCATTAGCGGCACTTAGCTGATACGTAGTCCGTGCACGACGCTCTCGCAGCAGCGACCGCGGGAAGACACAGAGGTCGCTCCCAGTGTCGACCAGGAACTGTGTCTTGGATTTGCGATCGGTGACGAACAGGCGACCAGTTGAAGAAGGGCAATCGTCGGTCGTCGTTACCGATTGCCTTTGGAGTTTTTCCGACTTGAAGTTGCATGGAGGGCAGCACTTGGTCGCCTTGTCGGCGAACTTAAAGTGGTACCAGCAGACTGGGTAGCGCCGGTAGCGGGATTGGGATCCCGACGAAGAATGCTGACGATCGCGTGGTCGGGACCTGCTGCTTGATCTGCCGCTTCGTTGTCTGAGGGCCAGCTGTTGGACCTCTTTTCGTAAAGCAGCGATCTCCTTGGCCAAGTCGACATTCTCACTCTGTCGGCTGGTTGATGCCACCTGAGGTGTCGAGGGGACAAGGTCATTGATCCTATCTGCTATATCCGCCATCTCTTCAATTGTGGTAGAAGTCTGTCCAGCCAAGACTGTTTGGATGCCGGTAGGTAATCGGCTGACCCAAACTGTCTTCAAAAAGTCGGTTGAGATTTGCGACCCGCCTAAGCTTTCAAGGTGCCGAAGAAACTGCGACGGCTTCCTGTCACCCATCTCTTCATGCATCAGCAGCTGCGTCAACTTCTTTTCTTTGGATGCAGTCAGTCTTTTTATCAGCTCCGTTTTCAGTTTTTCAAATTTGTTGGTGGAGGGTGGATTGATAATTAAATCCTTGACCTCTTTGGAGTACAGGTTTCCGAGCTGACCAATGGCATAATTAAATTTGGTCGAGTCACTGGTGATGCCAGCAATGCTGAACTGACCTTCCACTTGTGCGAACCATATCTCGGGTTCCTCTGGCCAAAACGGTGGTATGCGAATTCCAACCTTACATACATGGGCAGAAGGTTCATTTTGCAAAATCCGTGCCTCCTGGAATTCGTCTTCGGTGTTGCTCATCTTAGTGCTCCTCGGGGTCACCAATGAAGGGGAAGGTGACGTGGGTGTCACCTCCGGTGTGGGAAGGTGTGAATGATGATGATGTGAAGGGTGAGTACGGCGACAGGTGAAATGAGGCACAGTTATATTCACAACACAGTTTATTATCACTCACAGTCCACAACAAATAGTAAGAAGGAGAGTACAACACTGAGAAGAAGAATACAAGTAGGAGAAAGAGAAATGCACAAATTCGGATAACAAAATAACAAGTTGCGTAATCGAAAGCGTGGTATATCGCGGGCGCGGCAGAACTCCACTGTCGTTTCGCGCGTATGCAAAACCGGTCAGTGACCCCCGCTCAGCTGTGCGTTGCAATTTGAATTTGCCAATCAGAGGTCAACAAATCGACGTGACGTCGACCACTCGTCATGCACCCGTGTTTATGTGTGCGTGTATGCGTGTGATGTATGTGCGTGTATGTGTGACTGTGAAGTGTTTGGGAATATGTAGGAAGTCACCTACAGGAGGAACAGAGGTTGCTATGATGGTTTAGTGGGTAGGGCGCTACTAGAGCTAAAACCGTTATTGTATAATCTATAGTAATTACATAATAAAAATAAAGTATACGTACTTATTAAACTAATCATAAATATCACGCATACAAAATTGTATTGAAACATTTCTTCTTTAGTTTCTAATTCAAACAATCAAAACAGTTGATGTTTAAACAGTAATGTTTAGATTCGATTTTATTTTCAATATTTTACTGTTTCAAGTAATTTCTAATTATAATTTCAATTAACTCCGACGTATGGGTTTATATTCTTAATATATTAGTCGTCGCTCGTGACTCTGTCTGCGTTAAATTAAAAATATGGGTGTGCATTGCGGGTTGTTAACTATTTTTGTTCCAAATTTCTTACAGATAAAGTCAGTGGCTGAGTGGTTAAAGCACATGACTTGCAATCTGCAGGTCCTGGGTTCGAATTCCGCCATGTACCAATGTGTGTTTTCGATTCCCGATTCACATATGTACATTTATCCGATGTTACGGTGAAGGAATACATTGTGATGCAACCTGGACATATCTGAGAAGAAATTCAAAGATATGTGTGAAGTCAACCAACCCGCATTTGGCCAGCGTGGTTGACTATGGCCTAATCACCCTCAACTTAGGGTAGGCTCCGAACCCCTCGGTGGGGACGTACAGTGAGCTGATGATGATAAAGCCGGCTACACACAGTAGACTAGTTTGAAATGTACAGTCCGATTCAATTAAAACTGAACTGTTGGCGGCTTAATAAAACTAAACAGGAGATCTTACGAATTTTTATTAAAGCACCCTACATTAGCGATCTCCTAAAAGTTTATGAAAATGCTTGAAGTTGACAATTCTTTTGATCGGCGGTTTCCTTGTTCTGAATGTGAAGAAAGTTTTTCTTGCAATCATGAAGTAACGCCTCCTGTCCTCCACGGAGTCCGGCATTATGTCAGGAATGGCTTTTTTAATCTGCGACTCTATTATATCGGCTATGAAAAAAGTGGTTATTAACAGAAATTATTTAAATAACAAACAGTATGAGGGTCGGTGGCTCAGTGGTTAAGTACTTGACTTGCAATCCGCAGGTCCTCGATTCAAATCCAGCAGTGTACCAATAGGTTTTTCCATACGTTAGTATATTTATCCGACGTTCTTACGGTGAAGGAAAACATCGTAATGCTTCACGTATCTGTGAAGAAATTAAAGGATATGTGAGAAGTCAACCCGCACAGGGCCAGCGTTGACTTTGGCCTAGTCACCTAACTTAGGGTAGTATCCAAGCCCCTCGGTGGGGACGTATAGTGAGCTGATGATGATGATGAACAAACAACAATAGTACGTACTCATAAAACATATTATAAAAACCGCACACACCAAATTAATTGAAGACATTTTTCATTTTCTGATCAATATTACGTCTTTAACAAACATAACTGTCAACGTTTAAATCAGCAATGGCTTGTCTATAATTTTCTAAGCCAGAGATTCCCAAACCTTACGTAGACCCCTTTCACATTTCTTCAACTTGTGAACCCCGAACTAAATTTTCCATTCCACAACCCTTTTTTTCCAGAGAGGAATGCTTTATGCATACTCCGCGCCCCGGGGGGGACGCGGTAGTTATGTGGGATTCTCCTCCATAGCGAAGTCATACCCACTAAACCTCTCTGTTCCTCCAACGCATCGGGACGGGACCACGGGCACGCTTTCGCTCTCTTCCGCGGCCCAGCTATTTAACAACCCTACCGCGTCTGTCACGGACCACAGGGGGGTCTTGTACCACTTTGAGAATCGCTGCTATAAACGTATTTTAACGATAGTATAAATTTTATTGCATACCCAATTATATGTGTTTGTTAGTGCCTGTCGAACGTAGACTTGTTCGTAAAAAAGATTGATTGATGTATGTCCATTATGTGGGGGTCAAGCCGAAAACAGGACGGCGTGGAGACAGCTGGTCGACGCATCCGTAAAGGCATATCAAGACGAGCATGACCTTCAGTAACGCGAAGATGGTGGCGGTTGTATTCCTAACAGAAATCGCGCCTCCCCTAGTTAGCGCCGATGGCGACCGCCGTGGAGTTTTATTCCGTGCAGTGGTATGCGTAAGGCATTTCGCCAGGTAAAAAAAAGATTTCGTCCATAGACATATAACCTAAAGATGAAGTGTTTCATACAACATTTGTAAAATTGTCCTACCTTCGTATCACAGATGTGTGAAATACTCCATCTAGATATTTTATAGAAGTGGCGTTAGAGTACGGCATGGTGGGGCGACCGTGCAGGGCGCCGGGCATAAGTGGGCGCCACAATCGCCAAAGTCGGGCATAAAAGGTCGCCTGCGTTGCCCATTAAGGTATCTTATATATTTGGATTTTCCCCAAGATCATAAAATAGAAGGCGCCCAAAAATGTCTCCCAGGGCGCCGGAAATAATAAAATCCGGACCTCTTTTATTGTATTTTTTTTTTTGATGATGATAACTTAAAAATATATACATAAACTTATTATTGAATTACTTAACTTACTTTATTGTATTGTGTCTATGTATTTTCAAATATTTTTAAATATTTTAGTCAAGAGCTAGGAGGAATTAAATAAGTCTTTGCTTGATGGATTTTTTAATACTATTCTTAGGTATGAATTTACAAAACTTACTTATACACACACTATATCTATACGAGTACATCATATTCCAATCTCCATATTTATAAACAAAGAAATGTTGGTTAAATTACGATCACATATTTTATACACAATGGAGTAACTTGGTGTGGTCAATTAATTAAACGATTTTTTTACCAGCTCTTTGAACCTCATCCCCTTTAGTAATACGTTTACTGGTGATCCAAAGAGATTGAAATCTTAATATTATAAATGCAAATGTTTAGATGGATGGATATTTATTACTGCAGAGACAGAATCCTTCTCACGATGCGCGCGGTTTCTAGGATAACTGCTTTTTGTATAGGGCCCTAGGGAGCTTCTTGAGATGTTGGTCGAACTCTGCTAAAATCATACAAAGCAAACTAAAATCCGTTGCGGGCAGTGCAGTGCATCCGGACAACGGACGTAGCTGTAGTATCACCGCTGCGGGGTTAGACAAAGTGAATTCGCTTTGTAAGCGAATCCATAATTGTATAGAACTGAGGCGCGACAATCTTGTGACTTATGGAAAGTTATTGTCAGTTCTATATATTTGAAGTTCGCTATGGATTCGCTTACAAAGCGAATTCAATTTGACTAACCCCGCTGATTCAGAAAACAGATCCCTAATATACATTGCTCTTATTTCTAATGGGCTGCTTTTTGTTCGACGCTTCAGTTGGCGCGCCCTTCAGACCTACAGGGAACTGTGGACCTACAAGCCCTTGCGCTCTTATAGGTTGCAGCAGTCTTACGGGTCCCTGCATTCCTACATATACCTGCGGTACCTGTGGTCCTACGGTTCCCTGCAGTCCTAGAGGTCCTAGCCATCCTATAGGTCCCTGCGGTCCTAAAAATCCCTGCGGTGCTAGAGGTCCCTGCGGTCCTACAGGGACGCGCGGTGCTACGGGGCCCTGCGGTGCTAGAGGGCCCTGCTGTCCTACGGGGCCTTGCGTCCCTACTGGTCCCAGTGGAAGACCTGTAGGAACAGGTTCCTGCGGTCCTTTTGTGATCCACTGCAGCGCGCTCGAATTATTCACATTTTGGTTGGCCAGCATTGCGTTCAACCAATCACAAGTTTTCTGATCGTAATCTTTTTGATCTGGGGATAAATGTTGCATGTTAATTTATTTAAGTCAAGTTAAAAAATCTACATCGCAAAAATACGATTTAAGTACTGGTACATCATCATCAGCTCACTATACGTCCCCACCGAGGGGCTCGGAGCCTACCCTAAGTTAAGGGTGATTAGGCCATAGTCAACCACGCTGGCCAAGTACGGGTTGGTTGACTTCACACATATCTTTGAATAGTTAGTATAGTTATATATCTGAAAACTATAATAAATCTATGGATCTTACCTTTTTCTAATAATTCCTTCAGCCCCTCAAACGGTTCGGGTTTTTCTTTTTGACTTTTAACGTTTACAACTATCGTTAATACTGAAAAAAATAAGGCTTATAAATATTATTTTATTTGTTTTTTACTAATATTATAAATGCGAATGAACGGATTGCTGTATGGATGTTTGTTTTAAGGTATCTCCAGAACAGATCTAGATGAAATTTGTCATACATACAGAACATAGTCTGGAAGAACGCATAGACTACTAATTAAGTTTTTTTTTTTTAATATCGCGCGGACGGAGTCGCGGGTGACATTTAGTATTGTTATATTTAGTTTACTCACTTCCTTTTCGTTCTATCTTTCCATTGCTTTGTGTAATTTGAGGTCTCCTGATGACAGTCGAAACTACGGAAAAAAATAATTCTTTTGTTTATTTAACTCGCCAAATATACTGCCCAAACGTATTTCAGAGCAAAGGACACGTAAAATGGAATCAGTTCAATTGTTTAGATGGATGGATGTTTGTTAGAAGTTATCTCCAGAACGGCTGTATGAATTTCGATGAAATCAGACATAGATGTGGAACATAGTCGGGAAGAACACGAAAATGTAATTATGTTTTTTTTTTGCTTCGGCACAACCATTGTCGGATTTAGCAGACGACGTTCGAAATATGGTGCTAAAGGCTTTATAGATATTAATTAAGTGTAAATATTTTTGTTTGTTATATATAGTTATTGTTATTATCATTGCTTTTTTTTTAATTTTATATCGCTTGCTTTAATAGTTTACTGTATTTTCGTAATTAGCTCCTAAGTTGATTGAGTATGTGTTTGTTGAATATGGGACTGATATGTTCAAAAGAACAAAAGTCTCTAAAAAAATATGTTTATAATAACGCCAGACGGAGTCGCTGGCGACGCTAAAGAAAACAAAAGCACGTCACATACATGGCGGCCATGTTGATTTTTTTTAATGGTCCATAATGATGGAATTTTCCAAATTATGAGTAGCTATTATACAATCCGGGCAAAGATTTACTGTTATTTACGGGCAAAAGTTGACTGTACTTACCTTCAGCTGCCGTATCCACGTTGACCTCTACATTGATTTCATCTTCTACTTCCTCGTCCTTTACTGTTTCTAAAGGAATCAAACATTTTTACATTACTAGCTGTCGCCCGCGACTCAACCGCGCGAAATTAAAAAAAAATCTATTGGTCGCAGCGTAATGTTATATAGCCTAAAGCCTTCATCTATAAATGGACTATCCAACAAAGAAATAATTTTTCAAATCGGACCTGTACTACCTGAGATTAGCGCGTTTAAACAAACTCTTTTGCTTTATAATATTAGTATTGATTTCTCGCACGCACCATTTTCTTACTTATGTTATTATTGCGAATGTTTGTTTGAATGTATCTCCAGAACGGCTGAACGAATCTCGGTGAAATTTGTCATACATATAGAACATAGTCTGGAAGAAAACATAGGCTACTAATTGTTTTTTTATGCCGCGCGGACGGAGTCGCGGGTAATCGTTAGTTATATCATAAGACGGCAAACGAGCAAGTTTTTATATTTGACTTTTTTGTATATTCTTACCTGTATTCTCTTCAATCTTATTATTCAATAGTGAACTCATTGTAGTGGACCAATTCTCATCATTTTCTTTAGTTGTGGTGTTCACATCATCAACATTTAGATTACTAGTTTCTGAAATGTTTCATCATCATCAGCTCACTATACGTCCCCACTGAGGGGCTCGGAGCCTACCCTAAGTTATGTGACTAGGTTATAGTCAACCACGCTGGTACAGTGCGGGTTGACTTCACACATATCTTTGATCGTCTCAGATATGTGCAGCATCACGATGTTTTCCTTCACCGTAAGAACGTCAGATAAATGTACATATATAAATGGAAAACACATTGGTACATGACGGGATTCGAACCCAGGACCTGCAGATTACAAATCAAGTGCTTTAACCACTCAGCCACCGATGCTCCGTTTACGATTTTAAAATAGCTTTTTATAGGAGCTACTTAATCTATACTAAGAGACTGCCTAAATGATCACTTAATTCTCTATGTACGGCAGTAAAATAATTCAAAAATATCGCGCATAGATTTAAAAAATTTAGTAAAAATATAGAATATTTTGATGGCAAAATAATAATATTATACAAAAATATAAATATTTGTACAGATATTATTCAAACTTTCGTGAGACATAATAAACTTATATAAAAACGGCTAAACATTCACGTATATTTGACCGGTAGCGGCACCGACTAGTTTCGAGCCCATCGAAACTAGTCGGTGCCGCCACGACGCCGGCGCAATCCGCGCCCGCTGTCCCCGGCCCCGCCCCCTTCAAGGCGCGCGCTAAGAGCGCAGGCGTGCAGTGAGCGACGGTCCGCGTCCGCGAAATAATACCAGTCCCATTCACCCTGATGAATGGCCCCCAATGGGCTCGAAACTAGTCGGTGCCGCCACCGGACGTATACACGTAAGTGTTTAGCCGTTTTTATATAATAGTTTATTTGTATAGAAAATTAAATATTTTTACCTCGTTTGTCGTTCCCCTTATGAATATTCATTCCTGATCCTAGTATGGGAATTATTTCCTCGTCGTCATCGGTGTTGTTTTCTTAATAAAATGACAAATTTATTTTAACCACATAAAGAATCGTTTTATAGACTAAAATCTCTGTATAAAACATATCGTCATCCCTCTCATTATCTTTTATAAAACAGAGATATCACTATGTTTTAAACGGGGATTTTATATTTAACTTTTTGCCGTTTAGTTATGTCAAATATTTCCAAATACATCGTAGAAACATCATCTATAAGGAAATAAGAGGCAATCGTACGATAGCTGAGTTAATGCCGATATTAATGTCGTCTCTATACAAATTTTCACGAAAATATTTATTTAATTTAACGTTAAAAGACATGTATTTAGTCATAAAAAAAAACAAATTAAAAATATCAGATGATGTTTATGAAAGCCGAAATATTTCCCAGTGTGCGATATAATTATTCAACATAATGTTAGTAAGAAACTCCAAAACTGTGCCGGTGTGCGCAACACTAGCCCTATTGTCAATGTTTATGTCCCCTCACTTATCTGACACTTGACTTTGTAACAAAAAGTGCGCCATTCGCTCCAAATGATTCTAATATTGTTTAAAAATAATAAAACAGTACTCTTCTTACCTTCGTGGATATTCATTCCCGAGTTTAATGTAGGTATGAAATCATTTAAATCTCTATCGCTATTGGCTTCTGGTTGAAAAGTATCTGAAAATAAAAAGATTTTAAACGGAAACTTCAATTCTACAACATTTTTAAACACTTTTTTTTATATCATAAGATGGCAAACGAGCGAGCGGCCACCTAAAATCGCTGAACAGCGAAGCGACCGTTGCCCATAGACATACGCAATTGCATATGCGTTGCCCACCTTCAATCGACGGAGGAGTGGATGCACAGAAAGAAAATACTTTCCCCTTCCATGCATCCTCTCATCCGGAACGCGGAATTGCTTCCACTTCACGCCCGTCTTCTGTGTGGTCGTGGTATTTCACCGGCCGAGCCAGGCCGATTCGTGCGAAGACGTTAAAGCAGGCTCTACCACTATTAAGATGATCTATTCGCCCTTAGATGACAATGTTTAATTTTTATAATTTTATTCAGAGAAACTCAATCTAGAAACAAAAATCCGTTTGCTTGGAATATTTCTTCCTTTCATTCGTTTTACATACCTTGGAAGGTCGGCATGGGATTCCATGAATTGTTTCCGGTGCTTCGCGCCGCCGCGCCCACAATAACGCCGGCACAGTAACAAAGCCACCTGGAAAGTTGATATATCATCAGCTCACTATACGTCCCCACTGAGGTGCTCGGAGCCTACCCAAAGTTAGGGGTGATTAGGCCATAGTCAACCACGCTGGCCAAGTGCGGGTTGACTTCACACATCTTTGAATTTCTTCTCAGATATGTGCAATATCACGATGTTTTCCTTCACCGTAAGAACGTCGGATAAATGTACATAAGTAAACCGAAAATCGAAAAACACATTAGTACACGGCGGAATTCGGACCCAGGACCTGATTATAAATCAAGCGCTGATACCACTGAGCCACCGACGCTCTGAAAGTAGATATCTTACTAATATTATAAATGCGAATGTTTAGATGGATGTTTGTTAGGTATCTCCAGAACGACTGAATAGATCTCGCTGAAATTTGTCAAAATGTAGAACATAGAACATAATTTAAAAGAACATATAATTCCGCCCGACCGAAGTCCCGGGCGGCAGTTAGTTTAACAATAATTTCTTGATTTATTCCTGAGGGTAATATATTTTAAATATATGTTAGTTTACTTGTGTATGTTTGTTTGTATATAAGTTTCATTGTAATCTGTAGTTTAAACTGATTTTGACGTTTTAGTTGTATTTCGATTCTTCGTTTGAGTTCAGTAACGGTTTTTGTTATCTTAGCGCCTAAGGATTTTGTCTTGGAGTGGGGAGGGTACGTAAGACTGTATTCACAGACCTTTTGTTAAAAATTCTCGGTACGTTTTTGAGACTTTGATTGAATGAATCTACCTTAAGTTTAATAATTATTTTTAATATTAAATATAATAATATAATTCACCTTAATATGGTACTCACCACATTTTTAATATCACAAACATTTAGGACAATGTAACAATTCGCGCCTCACTTCGCGTCTGAAGTCGCCAAATTCGTTTTCCTCTAGTGACGTTATCGGCTAGTGATGTCCATGATCCAATATTAAATTGATATCGAAATCGAACTTTTTTACAAAACGAATTATGTACAATGCTAATTCATATAAATAATTATATCATCTGTAGAATGTAACGATTATAGGATTCATTGGATTAATTTTAATAAATAAGCAAGAAGTATTTAAATCGTCGTTTTAGTAGAAAGTCTTATATTGGAGGGGACAATGATTTGTTCTTCAAACACTGGAATGAATCATCAACCTGCCCTTATCCCTATCGAGGGTCGGCACAGTATGTACTACTCCTCCATACATCTCTATCAGCCGTCATATCCGAGTCTACCCCCTTCTTACGCATATCCTCTTTCACACAGTCATTCCTTACTTTACTAACGAAAACCTAGCTAGCACTGGAATGAATACAATAATGTATTCCATTTGGATTGGAATTATTTGTGAGATAAAACCAGTACAAATATGGTATAATGGTTATAAAATATAATTATTAAAAGTACGTAGAATTGATGTAATAGCTAGCAATAGTGGTTATTAATAATTTAATAATTTGCTTTTTTTTTTCATAAGATGGCAAACGAGCGAGCGGCCACCTGAAATCGCTGAAATAGCGAAGTGACCGTTGCCCATAGACATACGCAATCGCATATGCGTTGCCTTTAATCGACGGAGGAGGGGATGCACAGAAAGAAAATATATAGATATATCCGTGATATAATCACAATGTCATGATCTTCTTACTATCTTATCTTACTCTTATTATAAATGCGAATGTTTAGATGTATGTTTGTTTGAAGGTATTTCCAGAACGGGTGAACGGATCGTGATTAAATTTGACATAGATGTAGAACATAGGCTGGAAGAAGGCATAGGCTAGAATGTTTTTTTTAATCGCGGACGATAGGTCGCTAGTATTTTGTTAGTAAAATGCAAACTTGTTATAAAATATATACGTTATAGGCCTTGGAGTGCGGAAGCGCGTCAGCTGTTCAAGGAGATTTTCGCACGCCTTCATCACCGTCTCAGGGGATCCAAGGGCTGGCGCAAATTTTGGATGAAGATCGAGCCTGTGAGTGCCATTTTTTACATTCTTTAGTTTATTTCGGTTTAATTTAAGTACATACTTTGATTCATATAGAAGATGGTTTGAGTGCGATAGGAGACCGAATGAAACAAAAGATGGTCGAGTGTTGCGTTTCATAGTTATAGTCTTAGAGAAATGAAGATATTCCATATTAGGATACTATTCCATATTTGGTGACTTTCCTCTATAAAATATTATAATTAGTTTATGTCTTAATTTAAATAAATAAAATGTTAGGAAAAAAACCGGAAATGATCTTGTTTATTGATTCAACACTAGCCTTACTAAAATGTCGATGTTTGTGTCCCCTCACTATTCAATCTGACACTAGACTTTGTAACGAAAGCACGTCATTCGCGGTAAAGGATTGTAATTAATAATTTCTAAAAATAAGTGAGATTATAAAATTTAACTTAGGAACAAGTTGACTAAAAATTAAAGAATTTACTAATAAGATTGAATGGATAAAGGATCTTGACAGACGGACGGACGGACAACAAAGTGATCCTACAAGGGTTCCGTTTTTTTTCCTATGAGGTACGGAACCCTAAAAATTGTTACTTTTATGAATATGTGATGAATTTATATCAAACGTACAGTTAAATCTTAAGTGTAATAATCATTGTAAAACGAATAACGGTTGCGGTACATCCCTATATCAGTTGGGGGTCGTTGCGATAATGCACGGGTCAGGGACTTGTTTGCAGTTGGCGGGAAAACATGGGCAAAGCCCAGGGAAATATCGATATAAAAAACTCTTTAAATATTCTTTATCTCTCGCAGTTTTTTTTAAAGATTAATATGGAATTTTTATCTTCCTTATTTATGTTAAGAATATAAGATGGGTCTTAGTTACATAGATTTACGTAGAAATAACTAATTCTCTAGTCTTGTATAGTTGGAGTGTTTTATACAGTTTTAATGGCAAATAGAGAATCGATTTTCTAATGGGGGAACGCTGCCAGTGTCTTCGTAACTTAGAAGGAAAGGATGGGAAGTGGAAGTGGACTTTCCGGATGAGAGGATGCATGGGAAGGGAAAATATTTTCTTTCTGTGATTAAAGGTAGGCAACGCATATGCGACTGCGTATGTCTATGAGCAACGGTCACTTCGCTATTTCAGCGATTTCGGATGGCCGATTGCTCGTTTGCCACTTTTTGATATTAAAAACCTTGCCTAAAGGGGCTCCTTTTAATAATATATTTTAGTTAATTATTCGTTTTTTATTATTTTATTTTATATCATAGATTTAAGACTATCTTTTAATTAATATATATTTTGAATTAAATAATGTACAGTGAATAAACTAAGAACATACTAAGAAAATTTCAATACTAAAGGAATTTAACTAAAGGTCCCCTTTTTCTTCGCCTTACTTTTACCCTCCGGATTTAGGTATGTCTTACTAATATTAAAAATGCGAATGTATGGATGGATATTTGTTAGAATATCTTCGAACGGCTGAACGCTTGCCATATGTAGAACATAGTCTGGAAGAACACATAGACTTCTATTAGTTTTTCTTTTAACTCTACCTGGACATGCGTGCGACAACTGGTAACATTATAAATGCGAAAATATTGATGGATGGATGTTTGTCAGAAGGTATATCCAGAAAAGCTGTATGGATCTCGATGAAATTAGTCACAAATGTAGAACATAGTCGGGAAGTTATAAGTTTTTTTAACTCCACGCAATCGGAGTCGCGGGTGACAGTCGTAGGTTATAAATCTACACTTCTTGGATAAGTTTTCATCACAGAAATCTGGTTTAGTTGCATTATCGTTATTTCTGTTTGGAAAATACAATATAAAATATTTTTGGGATTTCCGGAGCGAAGTTGATTTTACCTTAGAATATTAAGAATACAATTTTTAGCTGCTGTTTTCATTTTACGGACAATATACTTAGTAGAGCGTCGGTGGCTCAGGGGTTAAGCACATGACTTGCAATCTGCAGGTCCTGGGTTCGAATCCCGCCATGTACCAATGTGTTTTTCCATTTCCGATTTACATATGTACATTTATCCGAGGTTTTTACGGTGAAGGAAAACATCGTGATGGTGCACATATCTGAGAAGAAATTCAAAGATGTGTGAAGTCAACCCGCACTTGGCCAGCGTGGTTGACTATGGCCCAATCACCCTTAACTTGGGGTAGGCTTCGAGCCCCTCGGTGGGGACGTATAGTGAGCTGATGATGAATGTATGAATATACTTAGTATAGAATTTTCTATATGAAAAAAAGGAAGGAATGTATAGATGGATGTGATGTGGATGGATGGATGGGTTGACTACACTGATTAAGTTTTTTATATATCCACGCGGACGGAGTCGCAGTCGACAGCTAGTCTTACTTATCTTCTTACTAATCTCTCTAATATTACAATTGCGAATGTTTGGATGGTTAGATGGATGTTTGAAGGTACGGTCTCCAAGGTCTCCAGAACAGTTGAATATCGCTGAAATTTGGCATAGATGTAAAACATAGCCTGGAAGAACACATAGGTTTTTTTTAATAACGCGCAGACGGAATCACGGGTGATAGCTAGTTTTAACATAAATCAATGTTGGTAAAACAGAAGTTGTCAAAATATTAAAATTTATGACGTCATTTTATATATATAATTTGATATCTTTAATTATGCGTATATCTTAACGGATCGACCTCGCTTTACGTTTTAGCACAGTGTAGTTACAAACAGAGACTCCTAATAGTATACAAGAATATAAAACAATTATTCATCTTTATATTAAATTTAAAAAAAATTACGTAATTATTTCTATTCATTAGCATAGAATGAAAGTTTCACACAATTTTCACAAAATTACCTTAGGCAGTGGTTCCCAAACTTATTTTGTCTACTGCCCACTTTGAGAATAAATATTTTTTAAGCGCCCCCATATTTTCACATATTTAAAAACCATTATAAATTCAAAGTAAATTAATTAATTATTGTTACCTATATATGTATATTAACGAAGAATTCTAAACGAAACTTTTACTATAACCCGCAACTTGAGACCTGCAGCGCCCAAAAGGGGGCGTCAACGCCCACTTAGGGAAAGACTAACCTAAGGGAACATACTCATTTTACGTGACCTATTTTTTAGTTTTTTCGACCCCTCCCTTTCCTCGGTGACACGCCAAGACACCCCCCCTTTAGTTTTTACTCAGTAATTCATAATTATGATTTTTAATCATTTCACAGGTAAAAATTGAAAAAGAAATAATTTGGCTCATACTCTTGTTTACAGCATAAGACTGCATGCATTCGACTACGAGTCTAAAATCTGAGCCCCCCCCCTAAACGGGTCACGTAGTATGGGTATGTTCCCCAACCTTACTCCGCTGGCGCAGCGACCCAACGTGGGTCTTGGCGTACGACACAAGAGATCGCCAAAGTCACCTGTCTTTCGCCTTCTCCTGCCAGTCCATCGCTTAGTCTAAACAGTTTATAACCTAACCTAACATAATACACCCTTGCGCTATAAACTCTTCCGCTTTATAATATTAGTAAAGATTATAAAACACTACAGGCTAACGACTCCATCCGTGCGGAATTAAAAATGAACTGAATTAGTTGCCTACACGTAATTTCAGACTATGTCCTACATCCGTGCCAAAGTAAGAAGTAAGAATAGCTGTCGCACGACTCCGTCCGCGCGGAATTAAAAAAAAAAACTTAATTAGTAATGCAAAATTTAATCGAGATCCATGAAGCAGTTACTATCCATTCATACAACAAAATATTTGTATTTATTTACATCCTTATACATATATATATATATATATACTTATAATACATAAACTCTTAAATCTATGATATAAAATAAAATTAAAAAAAAAAAACAAATAATTAACTAAAATATGTTAATAAAAGGAGTCCCTTTAGGCAAGGTCCCGAAGATACTGGCAGCGTTCCCCCTCTGTACAGCTAAACTAATTCTTTGACCGAGGTAGCTGCCAGCTCTTCGGTCCCCTGTGATGTCGATTAATTTTTTGGAAATGTCCTTAAAAAGTCTTAAAGCGCTAGGACCCCACGGACCAAGGGTCTCGACGCCGAATGGGACAAAATGATATTCGGAGCCTAGACCCCTGTATTTGCATGCTTTTGCATTTGTATTTATATTAGTAAGATAAGATATTTATATAATTAGGACGTATGAAAAAGTTTTTATTGTCAGTCGAGTAAAAAAAAAACTACCGGTTTATACTCTGTGATAATCAAAACTTGATTCGCGGATTCTTAGTATATGCAGGTTCTGTCAGTTGCCATCCGCACGCTTGGCGCGAAAGGCGCTTTGTCGTTATAACTTTTTTTATTTTAATAATTGTTGTGTAAATCAAGGAAAAAACACTTAATTATGAAGTAAGTTAAATAATTGTTATATTATTAATAGTTTTATTAGTAAAAAATATATTATTTAATTTGTTATAGAATTAAATGCATTGTTTTCCTCAAATGATGTGTTATGTCTTTGGTGTTGTTTTTAGTTTGCTAGATTTTACATGCGACTACATTCGCGCGGAATTAAAAATGTGTTCTTCCAGACTATGTTCTACGTCACCAAATTTCATCTAAATCTATGCAGACTGTTTTTAAAAAACTTCCAACTAAACTTTCGCATTTATAATATATATTAAGAAACAAAATGTTCTTTTGTCTTGAAAAAAAACACTACTAGTATTATAAAGCGGAAGAGTTTGTTTGTTTGTTTAAACGCGCTAATCTCAGGAACTACTGGTCCGATTTGAAAAATTCTTATTTTGTTGGATAGTCCATTTATAGAGGAAGGCTATATCACATTACGCTGCGACCAATAGTTCTTTTAATTCCGCGCGAACGGAGTCGCGGGCAACAGCTTGATATTTATATATTAAATACTAGCGGACCCGACAGACATTGTCCTGTCTACACGTTTTTAATTTGAATAAATTAATATGAAGTTAATATTAGATGAAAATTGTGAATCTAAACCATTCCCAGATCCCCTTGAACACACACAAAAAATTTCATCAAAATCGCTCCAGTCGTTTGAGAGAAGTTCAGTGACATACACACTCACAGAAGAATTATATATATAAAGATAATTAAGAGTAAATTTTTACATATATGTTTTGGGATGTAGTTTTATTACGAATTATAAAAAACATCTATTATTTCATCTCTCCAATCAACTATCAACCTCTGACCTTTTATCTTGAGGTTATAAGTGTTTATTTTATAACGTTAGATATAATTTATTTTTCAATATTTCTTTGAAATGTTTAGCATTTTGTTGAGTGCCTATCGTGGGTTTTTGAGACCAAAATCTCTGTATAAAACATATATCAGGACCTCACGGTTATTCGGGCGACGAAAAACACCCGTCTTATCTTACTAATAGTACCTGGATGACCGAGCCTTGCTGGGTATTTTTTTTTAATTGTGTTTTTTGGAAATTATGTTTAAGTACGAATTACTAATAAAATTATAAAATATGAATAATATTTTTCGATCTTACCTTCGATCTTTTTTTCGATCTTGATAGAAAAAGTTTAGTTTAAGTTGATTATCGATAAAACACAAATAAAATGACATTTTCTAAAAATGATTCCTAGCCAGATCGATTTATCACCCCCGAAACCCCCTATATACTAAATTTTATGAAAATCGTTGCAGCCGATTCCGAGATTATATATATAATTGGAATTGCTCATTTCAAGGTATAAGATTATAAATGCTAATGTTTAGATGGATGGATGTTTGAAGATATCTCCAGATCGGCTGCATAGATGTAGAAGATAGTCTGGAAGAATACATAGGCTATTAATTAAGTTTATTTTAATTCTGCGCATACGGAGCCGCGAGCGACAGCTTGTTTATTGTAAAAATATGAAGTTATTAAATCTTACTTCTTACAAATAATATAGATGCATATTTCGATGTTTATATTCTAAGTTCTATTTGAACTACCAACTTAAACGTCTTGATATTTTCTGTTCTGTTTCTTGTTTATGGCTCTCCCTCATCGGATTGGGTGAGCCATAAACAAGAAACAGAACAGAAAATATCAAGACGTTTAAGTTGGTAGTTAAAATAGAACTATATATTTTGACGTGTATTAATATATTTGATTTCTATTCTTCCTCTGAGTATTGATACAATACGTTTTAGGGAAAATAACTTTGTTAAACGCAATTTAAATCGTATTTGTATGACTCAAAATGACTTGAGGAAAAGTCCGAATCTCACGTATGTGAAGCTGTTAACGCTGCAAAGGAATAAAGAAAGTCAACTTCCAATCGAATCAAATTGATTTCATCATAGACAAAATGCAAATAAACGATTGCAAGTTGCTATATGTGAAGAAGGCCATCTATATTTTTATGGGAAAAACTAGCTGTTGCCCGTAACTCCGTCCACACGGAATTAAAAAACCTTTTTTTATATCATATGGTGGCAAACGAGCGAGCGGCCACGTGAAATTGCTGAAATAGCGAAGTGACCGTTGCCCATAGACATACGCAATTGCATATGCGTTGCCTTCCTTTAATCGATGGAGGAGAAGATGCACAGAAAGAAAATATCTTCCCTTTCCATGCATCCTCTCATCCAGAAAGTCCACTTCCACTTGTATTGGTATAAGAAATATTAGGAAATTAACGAAATCTACTAATCCTACTTTCTACTAATATTATAAATGCGAATGTTCAGATGGATGGATGAAATGATGTTTGTTTGAAGGTATCTCCGGAACGGGTGAACTTGTCTCGCTAAAATTTGGCATAGATGTGGAACATAGTTTGGAAAAACACATGCATATTACGTTAGTTAACAGTGGTAGAGCCCGCTTTAACATCTTCGCACGAATTGGCCCGGCTCACCAGGTGAAATACCACGACCACACAGAAGACTGGCGTCAAGTGGAAGCAATTCCGCGTTTCGTCTGATGAGTGTGCATCCCGGAGGCCTAATTTAGTCCTCTTTCCCTTCCCACCCTTTTTCTTATAAGGAAAGGATGGGAAGTGGAAGTGGACTGTCAGGATGAGAGGATGCATAGAAAGGGAAGATATTTTCTTTCTGTGCATCCTCTCCTCCGTCGATTAAAGGTAGGCAACACATATGCAATTGCGTATGTCTATGGGCAACGGTCACTTCGCTATTTCAGCGAATTTAGGTGGCAGCTCGCACATTTGGCACCTTTTGATATAAAAAAAAAATTGTCTAGCTCTTTGTTTTTCGGTTAACAATATTCCTTAATTTGATAAATGTTTAGTTGTATGATATGTTTTGTTAATTAAGGCCAATTAACTCGCAACAATAACAGGAAAATACGCAGCCACAAATGATAAAATATGTATTTAATACGTCAATATTCCCATGTCATCATCAGCTCACTATACGTCCCCACTGAGGGGCTCGGAGCCTACCCTAAGTCATAGTCAACCGCGCTGGCCAAATGCGGGTTGACATCACACATATCTTTGAATTTCTTCTCAGATATGTGCATCATCACGATGTTTTCCGTCACCGTAAGAACGTTAGATAAATGTACATATGTAAATCGGAAATCGTAATACACATTGGTACATGGCGGGATTCGAACCCAGAACCTGCAAGTCAAGTGCTTGACTCCTGAGCCACTGAAGCTCATATTTTTTTAATCATTTCTCATATAAATAGCATTATTTTACCCAAAACGTAGGTTAATAGTGGATTGAAAGAGCCATCTATTGTCGAATGGTTGAAATAAATTTCGTGAACATGATATATGTACAGACATATTAATGATCAATTTAAGAATTCTAAAACCAAACTCAACATAAATAAAAGAAAATGTTGAATACTATTGTAGTATTTTTACATATTGTATATAATTTTAGATATTTTAATATAAAAAGGTCACTTGAGTTTAAAAGCGTCAAAATACAAGTAGCGACATCTAGCTAATGCGATTTGTAACTAATCGAGCTTTACATATTTAAAATCTATATGTATACTAGCGGACCCGACAGACGTTGTCTGACAATTTGACACTGCGATGGTAGCGCCGTCTGTCGGATCCAATGTAAAACATTCCAAAATCAACAACTACTAATAAATTAAAAAATAATTAAAAAAACATTGTCCAGCGGACAAAATTGTGAATCTAAACCGTTCCCAGATCCCCTTGAACACACACAAAAAAATTCATCAAAATCGCTCCAGTCGTTTGAGAGAAGTTCAGTGACATACACACTCACAGAAGAATTATATATATAAAGATAAAAATCAATTCGTTAGTCTCGCTAAAACACGGAACGGCTAAACAGATTTATCTTATTTTGGTCTTGAAATGTACGCGGTGGTCTAGGCAAGGTTTAAAAGGTAAGAAGAATTCGAATAATTTCTGGGAAAGCACCAAAAACATATTTCTTTTCCCATATTAAGGGCCGAATGGATCTCGCTGAAACTTTGCATAGTCTGGAAGAACACATAGGCTTTTTTTTTAACAACGCGCGGATGGAGTCGCGGGTGTTAGCTAGTTTTATATAAACAAATATTGACTTATAGCATAGACTAAATAACGTCTTAGGTGGAATTACAGAATATGTAAAATGGCTAACAATTTGCAGGTGGTACATCTGTTTGCTGGCGCTTTTATTGCCAAGTGCCGTGTTGACCCAGGAAGAAGGTATGTATTATTTTTTTATTAGATAAACTATTGCTTGGCCACGAACCCATCTTTCTTTAATATCATAAGGTGGCAAACGAGCGAGCGGCCACTTGAAATAGCGAAGTGACTCTTGCACGTATACATTCGCAGTAGAGATGATGCACAGCAAGAAAATTATTTCCCTTCCCATGCATCCTCTCATCCGGAAAGTCCACTTCCACGTCCTTTCCTTATAAGATAAAAGGTGGGAAGGGAAAGAGGACTTAATTAGGCCTCCGGGACGCACACTCACCACACAGTACGCGGAAGTGCTACAACTTGACGCCTGTCTTCTGTGTGGTCGTGATATTTCACCGGGCGAGCTGGGACAATTCGTGCGAAGATGTTAAAGCTCGCTCTACCACCGTTAATGTGTTTACAAGTATTTACAAGATCATCGGAAGTCGCTGCAATTTTCAGTCTCACGACCCTTCCATAAAATAGTTTTGACGATTTTCGTTGCCTTATTTACGAAATGTAAAAACTTGTAGTACTAATGTGCTTTTATTCTTAATTAAATTTTTATAATTATAGGTCTAGACCCTGCGGACACGAAATGGCTGAACCAAGTCCTTGGGATGCCGTCAGAAGCTACCACCACCAGTACAACCGCAGCCCCATCACAGAATACAGTTCTGGATCCAGTTCTAGACCCGGACTTCAATGGTAAATAACTTCTGTCCATATTGTATTACAGGAAACTAGCTATGCTTACTTCATCATCAGCTCACTATACGTCCCCACTGAGGGGCTTGGAGCCTACCCTAAGTCACGGGTGACTTTCATCTTATCTTACTAATATTAGAAATGCGAATGTTAAGATGGATGGGTGTTTGTATCTGCAAAACAACTGCATGGATCTTGATTTAATTTATCATAGATGAAGAACATAGTCTGGAAGATCACATAGGCTATTAATTAGATTATTTATTATTCGCCGAGGACGGAGTCGCGGGCGATAGTTAGTACTTATAATATTTCCTTTAACTAAACTGACTTAAAAAAAGTCTTGACAGACAGACGGACGGACAACAAAGTGATCATATAAGGATTCCGTTTTTTCTTTACGAGATACGGAACCCTAAAAATATAGTCGATAGTAAATATAAAAATACTAGCTGTCGCCGGCGAATCCGTTTGGGAGAAATTTAAAAAAAAACTTAATAATAGCCTATGTGTTCTTCCAGACTATGTTCTAAATCTATGACAAATTTTAGCGTGATCCATGCAGCTGTTCTGGAGATAACTTCTAACATACATATATCTAAACATTCGCATTTATAATATTAGTAAGATTTGCTATCCTTATTTTACAATAACATCAGCTTTTCAGAAAAATAACTAAATTCAAATATCATATTGAATGTAAAAGATTTATTCGAATTCGCAGAAAGTGCTGTTTGCACGACAGAAAATGGCGAGAGTGGAATCTGTGTCTTATTGCAGCAATGTAAAGATGGAGTCATAGACAACACAACACTCATCGACTTAAGGTAAGTTAATGGTCTACTAAACTAAGTTTGAAAGTAGCGCCAGTGATCGAGAAATTGAGGAGTAAAAGATTAGCGTGGTTTGGAAATGTTATGAGGAGGGATGATGATGATATAAGCAAAACAGTAATGAGATTGAATGTGGATGGCTACAAGGGTAGAGGAAGACCAAAAAAAGTATGGAATGACTGTGTGAAAGAGGATATGCGTAAGAAGGGGGTAGACTCGGATATGACGGCTGATAGAGATGTATGGAGGAGTAGTACATGCTGTGCCGACCCTCGATAGGGATAAGGGCAGGTTGATGATGAATGGTCTACTAAACTATAGAGTTAATTCTAGACCTATCTCCTATTTGGAGAAGAAATCTCTACCACTGTTCTATTATGTATACCAGGATTGGATCATGCCCCCATTACTTACAAACTTGCTGCAAACGGTCAGCAACTGCCAGAGTACAGCCGCCTCCCGCTGTGACTGGTGGATGCGGCTGGAGCAACCCTGGTGCAGGCATCTTCCGTACTAAGGACTCTGAAAACATCAACAGGAAGACATATGCAGACTATGGAGAATATCCTTGGATGGTTGCTGTGATGAGGTGATTAACTTAAATGGTTCACCTTTAAGATGTCTTAGATAATAAACGAGTTTAAGCACTTGACTTGCAATCTGTAGGTCCTGGGTTCGAATCCCGCCATGTACCAATGTGTTTTTCCATTTCCGATTTATCTTACATTTATCGTATGTTCTTACGGTGAAGGAAAACATCGTGATGCTGCACATATCTGAGAAGAAAGTCAAAGATATGTGTGAAGTTAACCCGCACTTGACCAGCATTGACTATGACCTAGTCACATAACTTAGGGTAGGCTCCGAGCCCCTCAGTGGGGACGTATAGTGAGCTGATGATATGATAATATAGTGATTTAACCATTTTTTAGACTCAATCATCTACGCTAGTGCTCTAAACTTTGCTATGATTCTGTATAACACTAATTTCTTTACATTTTTACCAGAACGACGAACAACGTGGAGGCCGTAGACTTTAAGCAGTCCGATTATATCGGAGGTGGCGCCATCATCCATCCCTCGGTGGTCATCACCATCGCCCACAAAGTAGAATGGCAAAGCCCCAGCCAGGTGAGATGATTATCTAACCCTCAATTCTCTTACAGGCGCATCAAATACTTATCTTAAAACCAACATTGTTCTTCCAAATTTCTCTAAAATTCCCTTCAAAATGTGATCAAGAACTCTAAAGTCATCATCAGCTCACTATACGACCCCACTGAGGGGCTCGGAGCCTACCCTAACTTAAGTGACTATGCCATAGTCAACCACGCTGGCCAAGTGCGGGTTGACTTCACACATATCTTTGAATTTCTTCTCAGATATGTGCAGCATCACGATGTTTGCCTTCACCGTAAGAACATAGGATAAAAGTACATTTGTAAATCGCAAATCGAAAAACACATTGGTACATGGCGGGATTCGAACCCTGGACCTTCAGATTGCAAGTCAAATGCTTAACTTCTGAGCCACCGATTGTCCAATCATCGAAGATCAAGTATCCCAAAATGTGAACAAATCTCGCTGAATCGGTGTTCTTGGCTTGAATGAAGTAACCATCATCATCAGCTCACTATAGGTCCTCACTGAGGTGCTCGAAGCCTACACTAAGTGATGTGACTAGACTTTGAATAAAGTAATATGTATTTAAAATTGTGATCAGCTGAAATGTCGCGCTGGCGAATGGGACACGCAGACAACTCTCGAGTTGTATACGACACAAGAACGCTTTGTTACAAAGAAAATCATCCACGAGGAATTCTACAAGGGTGAGTATATCTAAACTAATTAACTACTAAAAAAAAATAACAAAAATAAACAGATTGACAGACTTACAAATTCTATATATATATATATATATACTAGCGGAGCCGACAGACGTTGTCTGACAATTTGACAGTGCGATGTTAGCGCCGTCTGTCGGATCCAATGTAACACATTCCAAAATCAACAAATACTAATAAATTAAAAATTAATTAAAAAAAACATTGTCCAGCGAACAAAATTGTGAATCTAAACCATTCCCAGATCCCCTTGAACACACACAAAAAATTTCATCAAAATCGCTCCAGTCGTTTGAGAGAAGTTCAGTGACATACACACTCACAGAACAATTATATATATAAAGATATATAAATTGCTGTTTGTTAGTCTTGCTAAAACTAGAGAACTGAACGGATTTATCTTATCTTGGTATTGAAATATTCGTGAAAGTCTAGGAAAAGTTTAAAAGGTCAGATAAAATCGAATAATTGCCGAGAAAACCCCAAAAACAGCCTTTATTTCCCATATTTGAGGCAGTACGAAATCTGTCTGGTTAGCTGTATTTGACTGTAATTGTACCAATACTATGATATTGTTTGAAGTTCCGGCGTACAACGACGTGGCTCTGTTGATTCTGTCGAGCCCCTTCAAGTTAGAGGATGCGCCGCACATCGGTGTCGCGTGTCTCGCCCCCCGCCTCCCCGCCCCTGCCACCACCTGTTACAGCATGGGCTGGGGTAAAGAATCGCAGCAGAAAACTGTCAACGCCGTCATACTGAAAAAGGTTAGTTAATACCTAAATATATTAACTATAGTGTCTATTTAAGATATAAAATCTGGATGACCGGATGAAAATTATATTTAAGTACGAATTACTAATAATATGAATAATATTTTTCGATGTTACCGATAGAAAAAGTTAAGTTTATGTTTAAGTTGATTATCAATAAAACACGAATAAAATGATATTTTCTAAAAATGATTCCTAGCTAGATAGATTTATCGCCCCCGAAACCCCCTATATACTAAATTTTATGAAAATCCTTGGAGCCGATTCCGAGATTACAATTATATATATATATACTAGCGGAGCCGACAGACGTTGTCTGACAATTTGACACTGCGATGTTAGCGCCGTCTGTCGGATCCAATGTAAAACATTCCAAAATCAACAACTACTAATAAATTATAAATTAATTAAAAAAACATTGTCCAGCGGACAAAAGTGTGAATCTAAACCATTCCCAGATCCCCTTGAACACACACAAAAAATTTCATCAAAATCGCTCCAGTCGTTTGAGAGAAGTTCAGTGACATACACACTCACAGAAGAATTATATATATAAAGATGTACAAGAATTGCTTATTTAAAGATATAAGAATAGTTTGACAATTCATTTGACAGTTAACTAGAGATGGGTTGATTAAAATCAATTTTGAAAATTTACGATTTTCGATGGTTATTCAAAGTCAAACTGTCTTAGACGCACTATATAGTGTGACTATGAAGTATCTAATTAATTTTGTATGAAGATTATTGTTGTACTTAATGGATGGTTGTCATAGTGTTGGACCATACGCGCATAACGAATAACTGTTAACTGTTGATTTTCGATGTTGAAATAAAATTAATCGAACAAATAAGTGTTATAAGTTTTTAAATTTATTACAAATATTTGGTTATGTCTCGCAATTTACTAATAAAACATTTCTTTTTTGTATGTCAACAATTCCATTTCTGGTTAAAAGTTTTAAATAAAGTAGGAATATAAAGTAACAATTTTAATTAAATTGTAATTCATAAAAAATTGTTACGATCGAAAATTTTCGTAACTGATTTTATTCAACCCATATCTAATAAATTGTCAAATGAATTGTCGAACTTCATCATCAACCTGCCCTTATCCCTACAGAGGGTCGGCACAGTATGTACTCCATACATTTCTATCAGCTGTCATATCTGAATCCACCGCCTTCTTCTACATATCCTCTTTCTCTCTCTTCCAAGCTTAATACTTTATTATACTGAAATAGGTGGAACTAGGGTACGTGGAGGCAGCACAATGCCTGACAGCTCTGCGGCGCACCCGGCTAGGTCCGCGTTACTCTCTGCACAGCTCTCACCTGTGTGCAGGAGGTGTGGCCGGAGTTGATACATGCAAAGGTGACGGTGGCTCTCCACTCGTCTGCCCAATACAGGTAAAGTTTTCAAATTGACTTCAAACATCGGATTGGAGAGAAAAATTTAAAGCTCTAAGGTGGCGCTAATGTTGAGCTGTCATCTGTCAAATTTTTAAAATATGTATTCCATTTCGATTTTATTTTCTTACTAATATTATAATTATTAATTAAAATATACATAATTGGTGACCTATGTGTTCTTCCAGACAATGTTCTATATATATGCCAAATTTCATCAAGATCAGTTCAGCTGTTCTGGAGATAACTTCAAACAAATATCCATTTAAACATTCGTATTTTTAATATTAGTAAGATAAGATGCGAAATTTTAGATGGATGAATGGATGTTTGTTAAAAGGTAACAAATAATTAAAGGGATGTAGAACATAGTCTGGAAGAACACATAGACAACTAATTATTTTTTTTTAATTCCGCGCGGAGTCTCGTGCGTTATTTGTTTTTTCAATTTCTGATTTATACCTACTGTTTCAGGAGGGTCCGGATTCAAACCGATATGCAGTATACGGATTGGTTGCGTTTGGCATTGACTGCGGTAAACCCATACCAGCTGTTTACGCTAATGTACCTAAATTATACGCCTGGGTTGACTCCAAAATGGCTGCTGAAGGATTTGATACAACTACATACAAATATTAATCAATACTAAATT